GTTCTAATTACATTTATGTTATTCTGTTTCCCTCTATCTTCATTTTTTATCTTTATGTTCTATCGATAAAAAAAAACGATAGCAACATCCATCAAAATATCGACAACAAAATCGATGGAAATTCGATAATAATGTCGATAGCAAAATCCATAATAATATTGGTAGCAAAATCGATAAAAATATCGATAAAAATATCAGTAGTAAAATCAACAAACAAACAAAAATATCGGTAACAAAATCGATAATAGAAGCGATAACAAAAATCGATTAGAAAATCTATAAAAATATCGATAATAAAATCTATAAAAATTTCTATTAACAAATCGATAAAAATATTGATAAATAATCGATAACAAAATCGATAAGTAATCGATAAATATTCGATAACAAAATCCATAAATATGCGATAACAAAATCGATAAATAATCGATAACAAAATCGACAAATATTCCATAACAAAATCGATAAATAAACGATAACAAAATCGATGAAACTATCGATAATAAAACAATAACAATATCAATGACAAAAATCCATTAGAGTATTCACGAAAATATCGACAATAATATCGATAACAAAATTGATAAATAATCGCTAAAAAAATCGATAAGTAGTTGATAATTATATCGATAGTAAATTCGATAAAAATATTGATGTTACTATCGATAACAAAACCAATAACAATATCGATAAAAAATGATAACAGAATCTTTAAAAATACCGATAAACGATAACAAAATCGGTAAAAATGTGGATAACAAAATCTATAAAAATGGCGATTATTATATCATAAGTTCCGAAAATTTCGATAGAAAAATCGATATCTTAATATCTTTAGAAATTTCGATATCAAAGTTGATAAAAAATATCGATAACAAAACCGATAACAAAAATATCGATAAGTCCCGAGAATTCCGAAAATATCGAAAATCCCAAAATAGTTCCCAGATTGAGTCTCTGCATATCTATCTATATCCTTTTCTCTATAATTACCTTTATTTTAATCTTTCTTGCTCAATCATCATCTTTACTTTTATCGGTATCCTCATCCTCATCTTTTTCTTTGTATTTATCTTTGTTTTTACCTTTATGCTCATCTACATATTCCACTTCACCTTTGCCCTTATATTAGTATTTAAATTTACCTTGGTCTTCATTTTTGCCTTTATCTTTCGCGCCTTTGTTTTTGTTTTTATTTTTACCTTGACCTTTATCCTTCATCTATGTACGTACTCACCTTTACTTTCAATCTTGTATTGGCCTTTTCTAAGTGTTATCCTTTAACCTTTTTTTTAATTAATACCATGTGCATACACTCAAGAAGCACTTGTTTCAGCCTCAACCAATTCCGTTGCATCATTTCCGTTGCACCATTTCCGTTGCACCATTTCCGTGTGCAATTTCCGCTAAATTTGCCAATTTACTCCAAACCAACTAACCGCCGCTAAAGAAGTTTCACTTCAATAAATAAAAAGTCTGTAATTCGACAGGAATCTGACTCAGATTTCAGAATTTGGTATAGTAATGATCCTCCATGAATTTCACCTTCCCTGCGATAATTCTATGAGGTCGCGCATCAAGCGTTTATGTATTTATTTCATAGGAATAACACGTAAGAAAATGATTTATTCTCTTTTGAGGTAAATATAATTTTCCAGAGTCAATCAAAACCGTCTAAACTACAAGTATACTGATTACGAACGTAGAGCATGATTTTAAAAGTTCATGATAGCGAATCCGATATGGCGATCAAAAAATTAAAATCGATTCGATCCGCTAAGAACGTTTTCCTCTTGAGGACGCTTATTACGAATCTGAGGCCAGGTTGGAAAAACTCAAAATGGCGGTACCAAAATGGCGGCAAAAAATATTAAATCTTTACAATCAACGTCTTAAGGTCTCTGATTACGAATCTTAAACCAAATTTATTAGTTAAAATATAATTCGATTTGAAATCTGTTCGCTCTTTTTTATAACTCCATTAAATTAGTTACAATTATAAGTATTTTAATTTAGGATAAATTACTACTATCTGGAAAATTCCAAAGAATAAATTTGAAAGTCCGTGAAAAATAGTACCAAATAGTCACTTTATGCCGTATGGATAACTTTCGGTTTAATAATAATAATAATAGATCTGGCGCTCACACATATGCTAGTGTTTGGCCGAACTTCTTCTCCGATTTGTGGCGACTCCGCACGGCGATTGTTTTTTATGAGAAGCTATTTGTCATTGCAGAAATGTACTCCATGGTTGTTTTAAAATTAACCGCCATACGCTTTAGCTTATTATTATTCATAAGGTGGGATAAAATGTCTTTTCCATATAAGGGCCTGAACAGTCGCGGATTTCAGAGTACCTCATTCAATTTTTGCAATATTGAACTTTTTTTTCCTTTTTGTGAGGTTTTTAGCGTTTTATTTTCATATTCTGCTGCCGAAGGGTACTTTAGCAAAATAAAGCATCTAATGTACATATATACACACATATGCATGCATTAGTTAGTAAACCGCGAAATCGAAATCAAAATTCTAGAGTTTACATATTAATTAAGAAATTTGACCTTTTATTATTACAAGCTTTTATTTAATTTGCTCTGTATACATATATGTATGTATGTATGTTTCAGGGCATGACCTAGAGACTTGAAAATTCACAGTTGGCTCAAAACCCGATACTAATGTTAATCCGATAGGTTTCGTAGGAGTCGAGATATTTGAAAACCCCGTATTTAAATATAGTCCGATTCGGTTCATATTTAGAACGTCATGAGTACATACGTTCTACTACATGAAAAGGAATAACTCCACTAAAAACTTGTCCGATAGGTGGCGCACGAGTCCATATATATGGTAAACCAGCATTTATGGTCCGATTTCGTTCATATTTAGAAAGATTGCTCTAAAAATATTTGTTTTTACAATTTATTTGCAAAAAAAAATAATTTTCTCCAGTTCGCTCTATAAAGGTAAAATATTCCTACTCCGTTTCTCCAGTCAGAAGTTGACTAAATACTACAGTTGTACAGAAGTACACCAAATTGTTGGACTTCATTGCACTCATACAAAACGCACACACATACACATTCAGTAGTGTATACGATCCTTCGAATCATGCCATTACAATTTTTTTCTTGCCGTCATTCAAAGACCAAGGTGGACAAGGCCATAAATGTCAAGCGATGTTATTTAATGCCTTCGGACTAACACCCACTTTTGTGTTTTGTTATTGTTTTATTGTGTCTTCTATAATGGCATCAGGTTAGTTGCACTTCGTGTTCTGCCTTCGCGGCCAGCGGTGAGTGGAAACTTCAATTTGTTGCAAAAGAAATAAATCTTGAAAGGTTCGTTGAGTCGGCTCGTTATTTGCGCATTGTTTCGCTATTTACGACAACACCTCAACACATTGTTATCCCGAAAGTGCCGTTGTTGTCTGTACTGCCTGCCCTACAACCACTTCGCATGTCGTGTGTCACAATCTCGCTAGGTCCATTGATTCTCATTAACCAAAGCAGCCACGCCAACTAAATTTCAAGCTTGCGTGCTTATGGTCACAGGACCCCCGCCCACACTCATTACAGTTTATTCCCCACTCGTTTTTGGTTAATGTACGCAAGGTATGGGGAATTGTCCCAAAAGACTCTTCTGCGCCGGAAATTTGTCAAATTACGGAAACAAAAAAAATAAAAGAATCCAGTAACAGTAATTAGAACTTTCCGCTGAAGAATGTTTATAACTCTGTTCAATTAAGGATCTGAGGAATGATGGTCGTAACTGAGTTATTGCTTTTTCGCAATCAACGGTCGCTTTGGTGTTGCCATATTGTTTGATAGGCCTTCCTAAGCAATTCGCCCTGAATAATCCAAACATACATACATACATACATATAAGATCTCCGCTTAGTCATTCAAGCGGCATAGTTTTTATTTAGTACTAAAATTTTACAGTTCACAAACAATTTCCACTCAACACAAAAACTACCAAACGCCTATGCAATATGCACCTGTTTTTGCTGAACAGCTCCACCCTATTGGCGGCGGGGGGCCGAGCGACTGCGAGCCCGCAAATAACCATGGTCGTCCATTGAGCTATTGCCGTGGGAACTGTAGCAGTCGCAGTTGCACGTATGGGATCTTTTACGACGCTCACCAGCCGAATCGCCCGCATTCTCTTCCTCCTCGCTGTAGATATCTCTCGATTTTTTACTCCTGCGATCGTCGCGGTTATTCACTCTTTTGGACTTCAGCGACTGTCGCGATGGCGCGTGCACACCACTTGGCTTTCTTTCGCTGGTTTTATTCGATTTCGGCTCCGGAGGTATGTCTCCACTGTCCACACTTTCGTAGCTTTGGGCGCTGGCAACTTCGTCGTCCTCATCTTCCTCGGAACTCTCCTCCAAGGCATCAACAGCGTCACAGACTCGGTAATAAAACTCATTGTGCTTCAGTACAATCCCATAGCGGACTACTTCATTCAGTGTCTCCTCGACCAGTTTCTTCACCTTCTCCTCCGGCTGTGAATAGGTTTTTGCCATGTAACGCACAATTTTATCGATGGTTACGGGCTCTTTGAAAACGGAAAGCGCCTCCATCACTTCTTTTGCTTGAAGGCTCGTAGTTGTAGGCATTTTGGATTTAGCTTCAGTTGATATTTATAAATATGGGTATCTTTTTAATTATTTTTATTACAAGAATTTTTTCTTTATCTTCAGAGAAAAATATTTTATTTATTTTTTAATTTGTTTCTTGACAAAAAATTACACACTAATCGATTGCTTGTTTCTTTTACTTTTCTTGAGCTGGTGCAAGGACTCAAAGTAGAAAGCACCTGGCAACTCCTGCATCTAGGAGAACTACAGTGGGGGGGGGGGGGGGGGGG